AGAAGAACTGAAAACATCATACCACAGTGATATATGTGCACCCATGTTTATAGCAGCACAATTTGTAATAGCCAGATCTTGGAAACAACCTAAGTGGCCATCAACTGAGGAATGGATAAAAAAGTTGTGGTATTTTTATACAATGGAGTACTACTCAGCTATAAAGAATGATCACATTGAGATATTTATAAATAAATAGATGCAACTTGAGACCATACTCATAAGCAAAATAAATCAAACTCACATATATAAATACCATATAGTCTCCCTAGTGTAAGAAATGATAAAAGTACATAAAAGTTTATGGTAATCACGATTCCCCATTTTACACTGCTTTGAAGCCTTATAATGGTTCCATTCTTTAGTTGGAATGGTTTTATCCTGGGTTGTTTCATTTTATTATCTGTGATGGTATGAACAGTTATTTTGAAAAAAACAAGACATTATAATAGCCAGTGCTGATTTAATATCATCTTGTTTTGAAGTCCTACCAAACATCTGTTCTCTGTTTCCATTGGTTCTATCATGTAGTATCTTATTGTATTTTATTATGTGTGGTAGTATAAACAAATTTTCTATGAACAATGAGATAATATAGTAACCATTGTTCGTTCTCTGTTATTTGATTCTGAGTGCCCTGTAATACTTTCATTCTCTTGAATGGTTTTATACTATTTTGTTATCTTTGATACTATTGTATATGAAGGTATGCTCAACTATTTCAAGGAAACAGACATTATGGTAGCTACTGTTAGTAGTGTTGCTGTGTAGTTCAGGTGGCCTTGAGATCACTATATAGTCTAGGTTGGCCTCCAACTCACAGTGATCCTCCTGCCTCAGCCTCCCAAGTGCTGGATTACAGGCGTACACCACCACGTCTGGCCATTTCTACATTTCTTTATTGAGACAGGGTCTTGCTAAGTTGCCCAAACTGAGCTGGCACTTGAGGTCCTCACTTCCACCCTAAGTGCCAGGATTACAGGCATGCAGTATGGGGCTGGGTACTAATGTGCACTGAACTGAACGGTGGTGTCAGTGTCTGAGGGACAGTTGATGTGCAGTGGACCCTTTGACCCTGCACTGAATGTTCCCAGGCCACCAGGTCCCCGAGTTCTTCTGACTGATTGCCCGTTGTCCAGCGTCACTGCTGCTGGCTTTGCACACAGCCCCCAGAAGAGCTGTTCTCCAACCTTCCTTCCTCTGTTGAAGGCTTGCCACTGAAGCCCGTGGAGTTTTGTTCAAAGGAAAGATCTGGGCTTTTGTGAGTCAAATCCCATTGCTTTAGTGGCTGAGAACTCAGCCCGAGTGGGTATGGCTTCTTAGGCACAAGTGTAAGGAAACATGGACAGAGGCTAGATTTGGGGTCTGACAGATTCTTTTTAATTCTCAGCTCTGTGTAAGCGGTGTGACTTCCAGTAAGTCCCTTCACCTCTCTAGCCAGCATGCTCTTCACCTGAAAATGTGTTGCATAATATACAGCAGCAGCATTTGCTTTGAGGTGCACCATTTGCTGCCTCCTCTGGCCACATTTCCTCTAGAAGCTTCCATCGCCCAGCCCTGTGGGCTGCCTCCACCGTCAGAAGGTGAGAAATGCTGATGTGAGCGGCCTCTGGGCCTTGGTTCCCTACCCCCTGCAAGGCTCTCTGCCTGGTTGGCTGTGGGGGGTCGGGGGTGTCTTCGCAGCCTGAAGGGTGACAGAGCCACTAGATGGCAGAACTCTGGGGCCCCACTTGTTCTGGGGCTTGATGGAGGGCTCGCTGAGCACACCAGAGTGAGTCAGGAACAAACTTGGACTGGGGGAGCCACTGAGGTGCAGGAGTTGGTGTGACAGTGTGACAGGAGCTGGTGTGACACTGTGAATGGAACGCAGTACTGGAAAGTTGACCTTCTGGCGTGGAGATCAGATTCTGTAATAATAGCCATGACGGTGTTATTCCAAGCCATTGACATATACTCATTGTTCCTGTGACCCTGTCAAGAGGAGACTGTGATCCCCAAGCTACCTATGAGGAGACAGGGGCTGAATCTTGCCTAGTGTCCTTCCTAGTGTCAACATTCCGAGGCAGGATGTGCCCACAGCTCTCACCTTTAACCACTGTGTACTGCCTGCCATTCTCGGAATGACTGCCTGCCAGCATCTGGTGGGTTTCAGCTTATTAGTTTTGGGCAATCTGACAAGCAAAGCTGAGTAATAACTAAGGTGTTGAGCAATTTAAAAAAAAAACCCTGAATCTATTACAATAGCATATCAGATCTTTTTTTGCATGTGAGCTTTTTCAGGCTCTCAAAAACTGATGACCCATGCTCACTGATGCGTGTACATGCATGTGCTACACACCAGTATGCACAGCTATGGCTTGTGTGTGCACTGATAGCTGTGTGTGCAAGATGCAAGTTTGTGTGCATGTGGTGTGTTTATACAGTGGCCTTGCACATCTAAAGGCGGTGTGCATGCATATGCTGTGCGTGTACACAGGTTCACATGTATGTAGTTGCTATTGCACAGCCTATGCGTGCCTGACCATTGTGTGCATGTGGCTTGTGGGGTGCATTCATGTGCTATCCATTGTGTGTTTGTGTGGCATGTGTACACAGATCGGTGTACACCGAGCACAGACATGCACACCATGAGCACAGAAATGTATAATCCCAGTGTGGACCGCACAATCACATACACACATGCTGCATATGAATACACAGAAGAAGAATAAAGTGGGTGGGGCAGGCAGAGGGAGAGTTAAGGGAGGACCGTGTCACTGGAGACCTGTTCCCGCCTGATCCCCCAGAAGGACAGAATGTTGGAAGGGGCTTCTCTACTGTTTGGTCCTCAGCTGTGGGCAGCTCTGCGGGGTGGGGCCTGGACCCTAACCAGGGACCCCGCCCATTCATATGTTGAGATTCTAATGCACAGTGCGATGGGAACCCTCTTTATTGGGATTCCTGGCCTTATCCAAGTGACCCAGGAGCTCTTTCATGCTCTGCTGCATGAGGACACAGCAAGGAGAACGATATCTATGAGTTCTTGGCCGACATGGAATCTCCCCATACTCTGACCTTGGTCTTGCCAGCCTCTAGCACTGTGCGAAGCAGAGTCTTGTGTTTGTCCGCTCTGGTCTGTGGCATTCCGTGATGACAGCCACACAGAAGAAGAGTTGGGTGTACGTCATGGACTCAGCATGAGACCCTTGTGTATCAGCTGGCTCCACTGATGCACTGGCCTCCATTCCCTTTCTCCTGGGCTGTAGTTCACACCCGTGTGACAGCCCTTGATATCTGCAGCCAGCTATTTAGACCGTGCATGTGGAGAGGGGGGTCCCCTCAGGGGTCCGGGCACCCCAGGATGGATACATGGACCCTTCCAAGTGACCCCGAGCACCCGGCACAGCACCGAGGCGGTGGCAGGATCTCTGATTGGAAAGAGGCTGGTGGCCCTGCATTCTTATTGTTTGGCGCTGTCTGCACGGGTCCTGTGATGCTGTTCTCGCCACTGTAAAAGCAAGAGTGGAATGTGAAACAGTCTAAGCCATCAGCGTGCTACTGACAAGCTCCGCAAAGGACAGGAAATTGTAACCACATGAAATATTTATGCTCCACATTGCAGTGCTGCTGCTGCTGTGACGGCATGCTGTTTTTGTTTGTTTGGGTTTTTTTTTTTCTTTTTCCAAAGTGGATTACAATATGCCCTCCAGTGAGGGAACGGCTGTGCCCTACTCCTGGGTTATCGTTTAGAAGGAGTGGGCTGTCATGATCGGACCGAGAGGCCCTGAGAGCCATCGTACGTGGCTCCTCTGCCCTACATTAAAAGGACAGCTGCACCCTCTCAATGACTTCTCCCAGCCAGACAATTGTTATTTCTCCAGATAGTGAAAGTACTCACATAATTATTACTTTTTCTTTCTATTTTTTTTAAACTACAGCCACCCAACATCTTCTGGAGAATTGGGTTTAGGGAGTCCCCAGTCTGGGATGCTTCCTACAGTCAGGTTTGAAGGAATCCTACTGCCTGTCTGGCTCACACCACTCACCTCCATCAGCCTATAGGTCCAAGCCAGTGGGACTACTGAAGGGGTGCTCACCCCTGTCACCTGCTTCTGATTGTCCCCAACCCCAAGCGGTACCCTCCTTGCCCATAACCTTTTTAATCATCCTGAGTACCCTGTGGGTCTGCATCATTGTTCCCTTTTATTTATTTATTTATTCTTGGCTTGAGACAGGGTCTTGCTATGCAGCCCAGGCTGGCCTCAAACTCTCAGTGATCCTGCTGCCTCTGCTTCCTAGGTGCTAGGATTTCAGGTGTGTGACCCCACACCCAGGTTTCTGTATCATTATTAGCTCACTGTTTCCCCCCAAACATCACACCGGATTTCCAATTGTGTAAGCAGTTCTACTTTATTCTAGTCGTTTGCTTTTTCGGTGCTAGGGATCGAACCCAGGACCTCATGAATGCTATACAAGTGCTCTACACTCAGCTACACTCCCAGCTCTACATGGAAGTGTTATAAAAATTCTGGTCGTGCATATTAAAACACCAGTGTTTTCTAGAGCACACTCACTCTTTCGGGCAATTGGGATTTTACTGATACTTTTTGGTTTCAGAGGGACCAAGTCGTTCATGGAAGGCCTGGGATTTAGCCTCCCGGGCCCATGCTGCTGTCTGCGGAATCCTGCGCCCACTCAACACATAGTCACCAAACACTTACTACGTGCCAGGAGCAGTCACCCGCTGACAGGCCCGCACGGGGTGGTGAGAGGCAGGCAGGGGGCTGGGGATTTAGCTTAGCGGCATAAGCACCTGCCTTGCAAGCAGGCGGTCCTGAGTTCGATCCCCAGTACCCATAAAAAGGAAAAAGACAAAAAAACAAAAACAAAAACAAAAGAGAGGCAGGCAGAACTTTCGCCTGAGTCTGTCCTCACACGGGGCTCTGTCCCCTGGCAAAAGCCACCACCACATGCCACCTCAGGAGTCCTGGCCTGGCTACAGAGCACAAGGAGATCCAGACTTGGTCACAACTTTTCAGGACATTTTATTATAAAGAGATCTGAGAGAAGCACTGGGCACCAAGACAGACAATTGCTGGGCCGGGAAACAGCTGCAGACAATGTCAAGAACCAAACCCCAAACCACGCACACGTTAGGATAAACTGCAACTCTGTTCTCCAGTTTGCTTCATAAATAGACAAAAACCATTGATGGCAATTTTAAATAGATGGACGCAACGGTTTTAAAAAATAATAATAAAGAGCAACACCTCCGAGTGTGGCTGTAAACTGTCCGGTTCTCGCTGTGCAGATAAAGAAGCGGTTTGACAGCTGCTTGTGCAGGTCTCCCTTAAGATAAAACTTAAAAAATGTGCTAAGGGTCATATAAAATGCTTTTTAACCTTAAAGGAAACTACCCCCACCCCCCAACAAAATAATCTTACAGATGTCTTCAGCACAGTTCTAAAACACTTAGTCAACTATTTACACAGCGCCCACAGTTCGCAGGTTTCGGGTTCTTGTGTGCACACTGGAAAACCGTATTTGCAAGCCCTGGCCAAGCAGCTGGGGTGGGTTTCTGTCCGGAAACGACCCCTCCAGGGCTCGAGCTGGGCCCGATATCCAGACAGAGGGAGTTTTGTGCGGGCGAGGAGTAGGGACCGCGGCTACCCTGGAGCAAGCAGGTGGGTGGGCAGTAGCTTTCCTGCAGGTTCTTTGGGCTGGTGGCAGGTGCTGGGCGGCCTCTGGAGAGCCTGGCGGGAGGGCGAGGGCGAGACTCAGCCCTGGGCTGCTGCCGTGTCACTGTTCTCACTGGCCGGTCACCCTGCCTCCTGTCGTGGCCTCTCCCCTGCACTCAATCCTTCGAGCAGCGCCCGTCCAGTGAGGCTCAGGGAGCAGAGGGGAGGTGGATTAGGTGAGGTAGAGCGATTTGTCCCTGGGGAGCAGGCTGTGGGAGAGAGGAGGGCGTCAGGGCCTGTGGAGCCCCCCAGGGCCCCTGCGTTTGGGACCTTCACCCTTCTCCCCATCAGGGCCTCTCTGGGGCTGGATGAGGATGGCAGCCGAGGCACCCTGATTGTCCCCTGCAAACAGAACCCGGGGAAGGGCAGCTCTAACTGTGCTCCACCAGAGCCATTCCAACCTCATTGCTTCAAACCGTGTCAAGTAAATCAGGGAGGAGACACTGTTGGTGGCCCTACACTCCTGCTAGGTGCAGAGGGCCAGCCTGGGGAAGGAATCCGGGGTCGCATGGCCAGTCCCCCCACACTAACTGTCCCTCCTCAGTCTCCCGGGCCATGCCAGCTCTAAATCAGAACGGCCCTTGCTTTCAGGCAGAAGAAGAAGAGCAGAATGCAAGAGGCATCCTTACTCCCTGACTTGTCCCCCTCACCCTGGGGGAGGACAAGCCCACGACCCCACCTGGGGGGGGGGCAGCAGACCCCCGCCTTCCACAGCCACCAAGACAGTGCTGTGATATTCGGTGGACAGTGGCTATCTCTGCCACCAGGCAGGCTGCCTCCGGCCCCAGCCATCAGCCTTCTGGCACAGGCTCCTCACTCTGCCACGCTGCCAGTGCTCCCAGGCCTGAGGGGGAACGCCACAAGCACCCCATTTTTGACACGCCTGGGAAATCCACACAGACAGGCTCAGTCAGCTCACCAGGACCCCTCCCGGAAGCCCAAGCAGGCGCAGCTCCCAGGGTCCTCTCGTGTTATCCGACATATCTCTCCACCCCTCGCACCCCCAGGAGGCCAGGCAGGACAGAGGTAGGCCATGGGACCAGGGGCCGGCCAGGGACTGACCTGCAAGTGCTGATGCCGCACTCCCCGCTGGGGTAGCTGCTGTCCCAGTCCCCACTGCCCGTGGGGTTGGACGGGCCAGGGGAGCGGGAGCCGGAGCTGCTGGGGAACTCAGAGAGGTGGGGGAAGTCCTGCAAGAGCAGAGGAGAGTGAGGGGACAGGGAGGACGGCCACAGACGCAGGCAGCTGGACTGCGGGTGTCGGTGTGTCTGAGGGTTCCACCTCTGTGTGACACTTCCCGAGTCACACGGAATCTCCACTCTGCCTCCAAAGCTTCCTCCTTTTTCCGAGTGATGCAGCTTACAAAAAATGCAACCTGAGCTGGGGGTGCGGCACAGGGGCAGAGCCCTTGCCCAGTGTGCGAGGGCTCTGGTTCCATCCCTAGTACTACAAAACACGAGCAAAACAAAGAATTTCAGCCCTCAGCTAAATCAAGGAGTGATTTTGTTTCCAACGTCTTTAAAAATGGGGTTGTCTGGCTTAACACGGTCTTGGAGAAGTCTCTGTGGAATAAGCACTGGGGGTTCAGTCTCCCAAGCTAGGTGACTGAAGTAGACAGAGAATGACGGGAGCCCCTAGAATATTCTAACATCTACCTGGCAACTCATCAATTGTTGGTTATGGCCAGTGTTTCACAGGTAAGATGTACTGGACCCATCTCTGAGATGTGGAAACTGATGCTCAGAGGGGTTCTGTAATATGTATGAGTGGCAGGGCCAGCAGTGAAGCCCCAGCCAGCTTTCCTCTCCCCAGGGGCGTAGGGAATATCACCATTGTGTCCCGCTTACCTGTGGGCCTGGAGGCGAGGGGCTCATCGCCAGCTGCACCTGGAGTGCCATGGGGGTGGGCAGGACAGCAGGCTGGGGGGCCGGGGACATGCTGACAGGTGGGCTGAGCAGGGCGCCCTGTGCATGGGGGGGCAGTGGCAGCTGCTGGTGCAGCGTGGGGCTGAGTGGGAAGGAGGGTGGTGGCGGCGGGGATGCGCTGAGGCCTGGCAGCAGTGACTTGGAGCCCAGCGTCCGGGCGAGGCTGGCGGGGGAGGCCCCACTGCGGAAGGCCTGCAGGTCAGAGGGGGTCAGGAAGGAGGCCAGGCCGGGCATGGCGTACATGGGCTGCTTGGGGGGGAGCATTTTGGCTGGCGGATTCGCCTGAGTGCTCTTGGTCTCGCCTTGGTCCGGAGGGCTCTGGAGGGAGACGAAAACCAGTCACTGGAGAAAAGGGATAAGCAGACCCAGGCCGTGAGTCCGGGTGGTTAGGTACCCCACCACTACGGCCCTCAGCTGCTCTCTGGACCCCTGGGGTACAGCTGTGGGAGGAGCAGGGATGACCGCACAGGATCCTTAGAGCACCTGGCTCTGACCAGCCAACCAGCCCCACTGGGGGGTCACATGCGCCCTGCCTATCAGGGTAGCCATCTGTGCCCCTGCCCGGCCTCTGCACCCCTGTGTGTGCCGTTCCCTCAACTGTGAACACCCTCTTTACTTGGCCCTTTATGGCCCAACTCAGGTGCCACCTCCTCTGTAGCAGCTTTTGGATGACCCCCCTTGGGCCATACAGTTCCAGTCACATCACATCCCTGCATTGCTGGTGTGGACAGAGGGAGATGGCCTGGTTAGCAGTGAAGGCTGGCAAAACTGGTTTGAATCCTTACAACCACTCAACTGGATATTTTTAGGCAAGTTGCTGAGCTGGGTTGTAGTTGGCAGACTTTAGTGAGACAAGATGCACACAAAGTGCCAGCATGGGCCCAGCACACGGAACTGTGACACACAGGTCTCATCCATCCTTTCTAAGGCCTGTGGCCCACTGGCCATGCCATGGGCCTCAGCTCTCGCTCCATCTCTCCAGTGGTCCATTTCATTGGGCGTTGCCTAGGGATTCTGTTACCTTGGAGACGAGGCTAGCCCTGTAGGCTGCCAGAGCTTTCAGATACTCCTTCTTTGCCGCTTCAGTCTTCCTCTTGTAGGCCTGAAAAATCCAAGACAAGGCAACACTGGGGAGAATGTCACGGGAGTCACGGCGCAGAGCCTGCATGAGGAGGCAGGGATTCCAGGCTATGCATGCATCAGGGTGGTGGGATGGGGAGATGGGTCGGTCACCCACTGGCCCCTCTCCAGGAGCACTGCCCAGGGAGGGTAGAGGCCAGGCTACCCCAGGCCCTCAGCTAATGTTTCACTTTTCTGGGCTGCCCAATCACAGCAGTACAACTGACTAGAAAGACAAGGTCCTTCAAAGCTCCCTCTTCTGTCCAAGCATCTTTGTATTCTGAATTAACCACACTTGTTCAGAGTATCTCAGCCTGGATTCATATTTGCTAGGATTATTATTAGGGACGTTAGACATAGGCTTGTATGTTACTGCAGAAATGACCCCATCTGTTCCCGCTCCTTTTGTTCATGCCTCTGGGTAGAGCCCTCTCCTAGTGACGTGGGGTTTGGCCTTGGATCTTGCTTTGGCCAACAGGACAAGAATGAGTGAGATGCAGGCGGGGACTTGGAAGTGACAGCACACAGGGGTTGCGACACACAGGGCTCGGTTTGCTCCCAGCTCCAGCTGACAGCCATGCAATTCCTGAAGCAGAACTTGCTGACTGCAGGCATGTGGGGGATCCCACCAAGAGCAGCAGTAGAAGCACTGGGTTGAGCCCAGAACATTTGGGGACCACTGGTATCATGATTTGAATAAACAGTTCCTGATTTAAGCCATTAAGTCTCAGGATTGTTTGTTAGTCACTCAAGACTGTATAGGTAGCTTCAGTATGTTTTAGTGATGGGTAAAGACTTATAAAAAGTATTATCCTTTTTCTAAGTTCCGGAATTGTCTGCTCTCTGATAATTTGGAAAAGCTTTCCCATCAGTTAGAAGTGGGACTTTCTGTGTTTCTTTCCTGTAATTTTTTCAACACCATCTCCTTTGGCTGTTAGTATATTATTAGCAAATTAGGAAGATAAATAAATTTTCTTAATGAAACTTAACTGCCACAGAGCTAATAGTCATGCTTAACTGTGAAACATGAGAAGTAACTGAAAGAGAGAAGACCAAAGCAGCCAGCCCAGCCCTCCCGCACATGCAGGCCACCATCAGGACTCCTGCGGTAGCCAGCACGGGCCAGGAAGACCAGCCAGCCATGCCTTGGAGAAGCCCGCCCCACACCCCACCACCTCCTGGGGAATCTGGGTTAGGAGAAACCCAGGTTCCTGACCCGTCCCCCTGCGCTGTGTACAGGGGGCTGGTGTGAGAAGCACCTGTGACCCCAAGACCCTCTCATCCAGAGGAACCCCGGAAAATCAAGCTGAAGGAGCAAAAGGCAATCTCCAGCTTCCAGCCCACACGAACAAGTCCAGAGGACATGGACATGGAAGACAGTGGAAGGTGTACACCTGAAATTTCTGGAATGATGACAGCTAAAGTAAAGAAACTACTTCATGAGGCTATAAAAGAAATCAGATCAGAAGTAATATCTCAGGTGCAAGAAGAAATGATAAACATAGTAAAAGAAAGGGTTGCTGAGTATATTAAAGAAGACATAGATTTAATAAAAGGAAGAGCAGAGGAGAATGAGGGAAATCTTGAATGAACAATATAGAGAAGAGTTGGAACGCATGAAACAGACTCAGATATCCAGGAAATTAAAAAACTCCATTGAACGCTGGCAAAACCGCTTGAATGAAACTGAAGACAGACTTTCAAGACCTTGAAGACAGGATGGCAGCTAGTGATTGCAAAAGGAAAACTCTCTTAAAAATAATAAGGAACCAGGAAATACCAATTCAACTGCTGCGAGACAATGCATAGAAACATAATTTAACAGTGATGGGTGTCAGCAAAAAAGCAGGAGTTGACATAAATGACCTAAAGAGACTATTTATAGAAGTAATAGCAGAAAACTTTCCAAGCATGGAAAAGTGACCTGACATACACATAAGTGAGGCATGCAGAGCTCCAACTAGCCATAACTAAAATAAATCAAGATAGATAATAATCAAGATTCCAGAAATTCAGCACAAGGACAGAATAGTAAAGGCTGTTAGAAAAAAGAAACAGATCACCATCAAAGGAAAATCCATCAGAATCATGACAGACTTTTCAACACAAACCATCAAGTCAAGAAAAGCTTGGAGTGAAGTATTTCAAGTCTCAAAAGAAAACAACTTTCAACCCAGATTGGTGTACCTGGAAAAACTATCTTTCAAAATTAATGGAGAAACAAGATACTTCCATGACAAAGAACAACTGAAGGAATTCATGACCACCAAAACAATCCTACAAAGAGTACAGAAGGATATTGTAGAGAGAGATAACAATGACTGTGCTCCCAGGAATGGCACAGAGTGGGATCGCCAAGCGGGGCAGAGAATTGAAAGGAGGGGGAAAGTAGGGAGCCAACAGCAGGAAAAAAGTATGGCAGAGAGGAACCAGCGCATGCTGGCCAAAACCACCAATGCAGACGGCCTCAGTTCACCAATAAAAAGAAACACAGGCAGAGTGGGTCAAGAAGCAAGATCCAGCAATATGTGGTATACAAGAAATGTTAACGCAAAAGGAAATTCATAGATTGAAGGTCAAAGGAGAGAAACCAATGCTTCATGTGACAGGGAATCAGAAAAAAGCAGGGGTAGCTTGCCCATCAACCATAGAACGGATAAGGAAGATATGGCATTTTTATTCAGTGGAAAGCTACTCAGCTATAAAGAAGGATGATCACAAGGCTCTTGTAGGTAAATGGGTGCAACTTGTGATCATGCTTTTGGGTGAAATGGTTTGGACTTACATGGGTGAGCATCAGTGTCTCTCTAGTATAAAATACTGAAGGAGTTAGTGGGATCCAAAATGCACAACAGATATTGAGAAAGTGCAAGGGGAGGAAACCTCTAAACAGGGAAGGTGGTAGCCAGTGTTAATTTCCTTTTGTTTTAAAGTCCTGTATCATTTTCATTGTTTTGTTTTGATTGATTTTATTCTGTTTTGTTTGGTTTGATTTTATTATATCTGATGGCATGGGCAGCTATCCCATGTAGTGGCATCCACTACATATTTCCCCATATATGTATACGTGTATAAATATACATGCATTTATGATGCATTAGTAGTAATATACCAAATTATAAGTCCTTAGTAGAGATCTATTAAGATATATAATAAGCTCTTGAGGCCAGGATACAGCTTAGTGGCACAGCACCTGCCTGGCAAGTGCAAGGTCCTGACCTCAGTTCCCAGTACTCCCCCCTTCCCCCTCCTCCACAGAAAGTTTTTGGATTAAAATAAAATAGTGGAAAGATAAACAAAAATGAAGTTAGAAAATTCAGAAACAGGGCTGGAGCTGCAGCTCAGTAATAGAGCACTTGCCAAGCATGCACAAAGCCCCGAGTTTGATGCTAGCACCAGAAAACGAAACAAAACAAAACCAGAAATGGGACCAACATAGGCGGTCAGACTCTCTCCAGACTTCGCTTGCCTCTAAACTGAACTGGACGGGGTCAGAGCAGCAGCTGGAGGGAGGTTTTCCAGGGGCAGAGCACCTGAGACCACTATTCCCCAAGATCACGCTGGAAAGGGAGGGGACTCCGCTATACACACACAGAGGAAGGGAGGTCTTCTTAGGAAGGGGAATGCACGGCAACAAAAAGGGCACTAACAACAAAGGCCTGACAGCAGAAGCTGGCAGCGCCCGCAGCACCCCGGGCCTTCGCCACTGCAGAGCAGAGCCAGCATGCATAACCTCCGGAGGCCAAGAGCGCTGTCCCCCACCAGAGCACTCTCCCAGGGGCAGGAGCCTGGTCCGCCATGTGCGTGGCAGGCCTGCCTGAGAGCAGTGACTGGCAAGAGCTGGTGTGCACCCGGCTCCTTGCAGCACAGCGGGGCCCCCTCTCAGCCAGGGGTTCCCGGTGTGCACCGGGCTCCTTTCAAATCAATCAGTGATGCATTGCTCTGGCCCAAACCTGCTCTCTTCCTGGTTTCAGAGTCTGCCCTTGGCACCAGTGCCCCAAAGCCTTGGGGGCTGTCCCGGAAAGGGATGGAGGCTCACCTGCTTCTGCTCCTCTCCCAGGCTGTCCCACATGGAGGCCACGATTTTGGAAACATCCCCAAAGGTGGCACTGGGGTTCTGCCCCTTGATGGCAGCCTGAGTGTCTCTGAAGAAGAGTGCATAGGCCGACACAGGCTTCTGCGGCTCGTTGGGGTCCTTCTTCTTCTTCTTCTTTGGGTTCTTGGCCTTTTTTCCTGGGTCAGCTGAAGGTCTCTTCTCTCCCGAGATCTGCCCGGATGAGAGGTGTCAGAAAACCAGAAGCTCAGCATTGGGCCCAGCTGGGCTTTGCTCAGCAGTCCCACAAGGCCCCTGTCAAGTTGGTGACAGGGGCCGTCCCATCTGGGTTCACACAGGGCGGCCTGGCCTGCACGGTAGGTCAGCACTCATTTGGTGAGAGACAATGAATAGATGCACAGACATATGATGGAGACAGACACACATAGACACAGGCACAGAGACTCACACAGAGATAAAGACACAGAAAGAGAGACACACAGAGACAGACAGACACATCACACTGATCCACACAAATGGACAAAAGCAGAGACACACGGACAGAAGGACACACACACCCTGAGTAAGAGGCCTGAGTGTAACTCGATAGAGAGTTAATTCACCAAAGAGAATCTGTATGATATAATACTGACTCAGAGAAATTCAGGAGGAAAAGTCTTTACAGTTTCTGAAAGACCGCATGCTAGAGATTGCTACAGTACACAGAAAACTGGCCAATGTCCCACACGGCAATAAAACCATCACCCTTGGGACTTATCTTTTCTGCTGCACAGAAATCATTTGAGGGTTTATTACGTTTTAATTTTTTAAAAAAGTTTTTTCTTCTGCATTTTCTATGAGTTCTTCCCAAGTTTGCATCTTCCTTTCCAGAGCTGGGAAAGCCCCCAGGCAGGAGTGAAGGTGCTGAAGACTGATTCTAGAGAAATGGGCACTCCTGCCCAGGTCTGGTGGGCTGGGCTTGGGTGTGGCATTGGGCGATGCAGCCCCTGGGGCCCAGTTTCTAAGTTCAGGGTGTGTGTTTTCTAACTGTTCTCCCTCTGTGATCACAATCATCTCTAAAGTTTGCCCTTCACTACAAAAGCCCAGTCTCCTCTGCAATGTGTCAGCACCACGGTGAGGCCTAGCACAGTGCAGCTGGATGTGCACCTTATAATCCTCGGGGAGGGGCCAGGCCAGGCATTGCAGATGAGTGAGACACACGTGCCAGATTGTGACTGCAGCCACCTGCATTTGAATCCTGGCTGTGAGACACTGGATAAACCTCTGTGCCTCAGTTTCCTCATTTGCTAGACAGAGATAATAACAATGCTGACCATGTAGGATAGCTACGAGGATTTCATGGATGAATGCTTATTATGTGCTTAGAATAGAGTCTGGGCCACAGGAATTATTTTAGGTATGCTTGTTAAAAAATAAAACAAGACCCAGCCCTGCCAGGCCTATGATATAGGCCAAGTTATTCTGGGTGAGGCTGAACCATTCTTCAGGGGTAGCATATACCACCCCGGCCCAGGAGCCCAGGGTCTCCTGGCACAGGTGCCATGCCTGTGCTGCAGGCCCCTGACCTGCCCCAATGTGCACAGTGGTTAGGGCCTTAACAGATGCTAAAGCCCAGTGTCCCGGGCCCCATGCCTGCTTTCTCCCGACCAGGCAGTTGTCCACCTGCTGGTTCTCTTCCTCTGTGGGTTCCAGCAAACAGTAGAGGCACCTTTCCAGGCTTTTCCAGAGGGAGCTGATGACCATGTCCCCACAGGCCAATGCCTTGCTCATCAGGGGTATCTTAAGGCAGTGCCTCTCCATCCCACCTACCTTGAAATGGGCTTCGGATTCCTCCTCCTGAGTCGAACTGGAGGGCGAAGGGGTGGCCGATTTGCTCGCTGGGGGTGATGGGGAGCCATGGGCAATGCTGCTCCGGATGCCCATCTGGGAGATGAGCTGGGATTGGCTGAGGGCACTCATGTGGCTGGCCAGCATCGCTGGACGTCCCAGCAGGGGCCCCGGCCGGCCTGAGTCATAGGCTGCAACCTCCGAGTGAACCATCTCCTGGATCTAGGAGAGGAGGACAGGATAGTGTCAACTTCAGAAGGGTCTGCCCTGTCACACCGTCACATCTGCACTCAGAGGAGAGGCCTGCTGATGAGAAGTGGCAGGGGACTTGCTTCCTTGGCTCCCAGGGATTCCCACTAGGTGAAAGCACCATTTCACGTTGATGGCTGCATGATTTGGAGCACCTGTGAGGGAACAGGTCTTCTTGACACTGCCTTTCTGGTGTCACTCACCCTGGACAGACAATTAGCATGCCAGCCCCTGCCAGGAAGCTCAGCTGAGCTGTGAGTAAAGCATCTCGTGATATTAGCTTCCCTCCTGGGACACATCTCTGCATCCATCACTGTGCAACATCACGCGTGGCAAAGGGCACAAATGCTCGGGGCCGACTACATTCTGAATCCTGGTCCTGTCCTTTACCAGCTGGCTGATTTTGGCTAAGCTACCTAACAGTTCTGTGCCTCAGTTTCTTTATCTGCAAATGTGGTTATAATGAAATCTACCTTCTAAGGTTGTTAAAGATCAAATGTCCCTGGCATATGGTAAGCTCTGTACTTTATCAGCATTTGTTAAATACATTGAATAAACACATATTTTTATAAAGTTTAGTACTTTTAGGTAACTCTGTTCCCCATGATAGTTTTCTAACTATTAATGGAGAACTATAAGAAAGCTAGTGGTTTTACACATAAACATTTCTCCTACTGAACATCTGTTTAGAGGACTGTGTATTCTTGACACAAATATCTCTCTCTCACACACACACACACATTCAGTGAGGCTTACCAATCTTCACACTCTTATAATGACTTTTATTTCCTCTGCACCTGTGGCTATTTCCTCTTTTAATTCATAATGCATTTGCTTCTCACTTCTTCTTTATTAGCAAGTTGATGGACTAGTTGATGGACTTCCAATTTCTGGTATGCTGTTTCTTTTCTCATGCAAAGACTCAGACCTCTAACGCTTCTGCTTCTGTTTTCTAATTCTTAAATGCATTCTATGTTTATTAATCTCTCCCTCTGCTTTTTAAAAATTTATTACTGTTGCTTTCCTCTCAATTTTGAATTACATTTTTAATTCATTTTATTTTCCTCTCTCTCTCTCTCTCTTTTTTTTTTTTTTTTCGAGGTAGGGTCTCACTGTGCAGTTCAGACTGGCCTTGAGCTCACTTTGTAGCTCAGGCTGCTCTCAAACTTGCAACAATCCTCCTGCCTCAGCATCCCAAGTGCTCCTCTTTTATTTTTGATTGTAAGTTTCAGGCTATGACTTTTCCTCTGAGTATGACTTTAGTATTTCTCATAGACTTCATCATGTGAGATTTGGTATTGTTCTGTACTAGTATTTCCTTTTGAATTTTTTCTTCCTCCCAAGAGTTATCTAAGAATTCTAGAATTTCTAAGTAGTTAATTTTGTTTCTGTCCTCTTCACTTTTAATTTTTATTAACAAAAGTGATTAAAGAATGTGGAATGTACTATTTGTGATTTTGAAAATTTGTTAAAATTTTCTTTGGGACCCAAATGTAATTAAATTTTACACATATCCCACAGTACTTAGATGTAAAGGTCAGGCTTTCTGGCAGATTTATATAGCAGTGTACTATGTGTGTGACCAGCAGTGGTTACACTATTTACATTCCTTTCTTAATTTTCATTCCTTAATCTGACACAGGCTTGCCCCAACTTTTCTGCTTCCATTAAATTCTCCCTTTCACTCTTAAAGCTTGTTTTGAGAACTTGAAGTTAGTTTTTATTGCAAACAGAAGCCTACACATTACATCTTCATCACAAATTGAGCTTTTTATTATCATATGTCTCATTTTTGGTCTCATTTTGCCAAGTAAATTCAGTGGAGTGTGGCATTAATACCACTACCATTGCCTATGTATTTCTTTATTTTTTTTTTGGCATATCTTTATTTCTGGGAAATTGTCTTGTTTTGCATCTCTCAGTTTTTATTTGTTAGAGTTATCTTTGTTGAATGCTGCTGTTTGTGTTATGACCAGCATAATATAAACATCTAAGATTTTTCTTTTTCTTTATGCCTGGAACACTATAAGTAACATAGAAATCCTATTTCCCTTAGAGAAATGTCAGAGTTTAGATAGAAAACCATCTGGAGTCCAATCTTTATTTTTTTTTTTTAACTTTAACACCATTGTCCATGACTAACACACTATTTTAGTTTCCACGAAAATTATCCACCTCGTCTCGATTTTTTTCTGATTGCTGGAGGTAGAGCCAGGCTTTGATGCATGGTAGGCCAGCAGTCTACCATTGCTATGGCTTGTGTCTGGATGTTCCCCGAAGCTTCCTGTGGTTGTAGGTGAGGCTTTCCAGAGGTGGCTGGATCTCGAGTGTGTGATGCTGGGTTTAAGGCTGTGATGCTAGCATTGATTCATGGTGCCATTCACGGAGTAACAGTGCCTCACTGTGTGAGTGCTACTCGCCCTAAGGGACAGAAAGAGGGTCACTGCTGTCACTTGCTGCTTCTTCACTGTTTCTGCCTGCCATGGACTGTTTTTCTTTTGCCCTTGTCCATGTCACCCTGCCTTGGAGCCAGCCAATTATGGCCTGAAACCTTTACAAACTATGAGCTACAATAAACCTTTCCTTTTTAAACTTTGGGTGTTGGGTATTTTTTTCTCAACAAAGAGAAAAAATAACTAAGACAACCACTGAACCACATTCCCCACAGACCTTCACTTCGGGTTTTCTGTTTTGGGTTTTTTTTTTTTTTCTTTTGGTCTTTTTGAGACAGGGTTTCACTGTGTAGTTCAGCTGGCCTCGGACACACTGTGTAGCCCAGGCTGGCCTTGAACTTGCAGCAATCCTCCTACCTCAGCCTCTCAAGTGTTGGGGTTTCAGGCATGCATCACCATACCTGGCTTTGCCTAGATTTTAACTCTTATAATTGTGACTTTTTAATTCATTCTGTTTTGGAATTTAAATCTCCATTCAAAACTGCTGTATTATGAATGCATGCTACTTTGTAAATTTTTTCTTTTCAAAACTTTAAATATTCTAGCTGTCTATCAAAAGGACCAATTCTTATACTTTAAAAAAAAATCAATTCAACAACTTCTCTGCCTGTTAATTGAATTCTGTTTCCTCACCACCATGCTGACCTCAGGTGTCACACATCCATACTTTTTAATGTACTTTTTTCAAATTAAGCAGTTTATTTCTTTGTAAACTTTATTTTTAGTATTGAGGCAACTAGGGCTGGGGTTCAAACAGGAATAATTTCACCATACAGGGGACATTTGATGATGTCCGAGGACATGCTTGGCTTTCATAATCTGGAAGACATGCCTGGAATTCGGGGGGCAGAGCCAAGGATGCTTTTAAATGCACCACAATGCACAGGATAGCTGCCCTGGGCCCCTGCCCCTGAGTGAAGAGTTTGGAAGCCCTGGATGTCCGTGGTTAGAAGTTACACTCTCCCACGAAGATTCTTCCTCTGAGGACAATTTTAACTGCATCATATAAATATTTTAAAAATATTCTACAATGCAAGATTTGATTTTTCTTTTTTTGTTCTAAAGTTATTTGAAAGAGTGTTTTTCTTTATTGTATTTTTTGGTTATTATGGTTCAGAGAACATGATTCCTGGACTTTTATCTTTTTGGAATATATTGAAGTTTCTATTATGGCTTAGGATACGACTGATTTTTGTACATCTGGCATGTATATCTAAAATAATGTCTGCTCTGTTACATACAAATTTCTCTCTATATCCATTCAATATACTATTTTACTTTAGTCGTAAAAATCTCAAGAAAGCAGAGTTAAAGTCTGCAGTTCTATTGTGTTCCGATCAGTTTCTCCACAGAATTCAAGCATATATACTGATGTGAAGTTATTCATCCCTTAAATACCCCAGACTACTGTTTATGACTCCCCTTGTTTATAAAAAATAAGCATCTTTGTCTCTATTAATGTTTCTGTCTTAAATCCTACTTTATTTGCTCTCATTATCATTTTTCCTGCTGGTTTATTTTTGTCCTGCATCATTTTAAGTGTGTAGCTTGCAAACAGCATATAGGTAAGTGTCAGTTTTTAATCCCATTCTTAATATATTGTGCTATGTATATTTTATTATTATATTAATCACAGAGAGATCTAAAAACCACACTCAAAGTGTACTGTTTAAAACAGTGGAAAATTTTAAGATCTATTCTCTAACATTTTTCTTCCCACTCCACATGTACACACTCTTCTTAAGCCTTTTTTGTTTAAGATTTGGGTTTTGCTCTGCAGATAAGGCTGGTCTCCTGCTCACCATCCTCCTGCTGTAGTCTCCAGAGGGTTGGGATTACAGGTGAGCACCACTGTGGTGGGTTTAAGGTATTTTTGTTGCTATTGTTTTTATATTATTATTATTATTATTTTGGTGGTACTGGGGATTGAACCCAGGGCTTCACATATGCTAGGCAGGTTCTCTCCCACTGAGCTATATCCCCAGGCTGTTTTTATTTACTTCTGAGACAGAGTCTCACTAATTTACCCAGGCTGCACTAAATTTGTGATCTTCCTGTGTAGATCACAAGTGTGTGCCCCAATAACCAGCTCCTTCCTTAACCAAGAAAAATGACATTATTTCCTCAAAGGCAAATTAGGCTCAGGGCTCTGTGTTAGGACTTGTTTTATTTTTATTCCCAGTTGTCTACTTCAAAATTCTTCAACCAGACATTCCTGACTCAGTAATCTCATATCTTGCCAACACTTGATAATGGCAGATTTTAAAATTTTTGCAAATCTACTGAGGGCAGAATGCTCTCAAAGTCATTTTAATTTGCACTTTTCTGATTACAAAGGATGCTGAATCCTTTTCATAGGGGTGCTGGGACCCGTGGGTTTCTGTACCACTTCTACTGGGAGTATAAGCTAGTAGAGCTGAACACTTTAGCAAACAATCTGGCCCAGGACATTGAAGATGCACACACATTCATGGCCTGACAATTGTGCTCCAAGATATTTACTAGGCAAGAAGATGTATA